TATCTCTTAGATAAAATCACAAATGCATGTGATATACTGCATTATTTCTAGAGCTGTTTAGAAACTGTATTTTCATTTGGGGGAGGAGTTTCATGACTCTGAAACTTCTTTCATTCTGAAATAGAAAGGAAGCTGAAAAAGCAATTTCCCTTGATCAGAAATCTAGATGATGAATTTTTGCTTGATTCAAATATTTCATTTCATTTTGACAAAACAAATATTTCATTCCAGTATCAACATTAATCTTATATTTTGGATTATAAGAGAAAATCATCTCAAAATGGAAATTTAGAAATGCTTTGTTTGGAAAAGGTTTCAGTAGTATATTTCAATCTTATGGAAATGTTTTTTTCCAATTTACATTCCGAAAATTTTCATTAGAGGCAACACTTTCCCACAGACTCTGTAACTTTTAGTTAATTGGCATTTTTGGAAGGAAAAGCATTCTGTCAGAGTCCAAATAGCTCTAATTATTTTCTTTACTGAAACCTCAGAAAGAATGAGTGTTTATAGTCAAAATCCACTTCAATCAAGTATTTATAAAATTGCATCTAATCTTTCTAAATTAAATTTGCTTCAGGCTCCTAGCTCGCTGATGATGCTATATAAATTTTTTTAGGAGCAGAAAAGCATAGTTCTAAGGTGCTGAGAAACTGCAGATACAAAATTTACCTTAAAAAAAACCCTTCATGCTAGCCCCATCTGTGACAGTGTAAATGACACACTTGTAAAGTTATATTTTGTATATATTTTTTTGTCCCATATAGGATAAGGATTTTAGGTTTGAATGTCATACTGACTGATTTTAAAGTACTTTAAATACCTAATGGTTGTTACATATCTGGGTTGTTGGTTTTTTTAAATATTAAAAGTGTCTAGAGCTAGGAACAGAGATTCATTTTAATTGTGTATATATCAAGTAGAACAGTTATTATATTTTATAATTTGACGCCTGTTCCTGCTTCCTTTGACATCAGTGGAATTTTGCTGTGCAGTTCAATAGGAGTAGTATCAAGTCTCTGATCTGCCCTTTGCTGAAGTCCCAGTTCAACAATTCCATTTATCTATAATATATCTTAAAATCAATATGTAATTTAAGAAACTTATGTTGTTTGTCAAAGTAGTAAGTGTTAAAATTACAAAAGAATACTCTTAACTTCAACAGAAAAATGCTGTCTCCATGTAATGTTACTATTTACTGATTAAAAGGATGACAAATGTAGATACAAATTTCTTTGCAATTTACATGCATTAAATTATAGTTGTAGTTTGAGGATAGGAACTGAAACACTGCGTGAAGCAAATGGTACAGGTATAAAATTCTAGGTGCATCTTGTATATCTTAATTGTATTGCTCTTTGTTGCAGGTTGCAATGCGTGCTCTAGGCTTTGAGCCAAAGAAAGAAGAAATTAAAAAAATGATAGCAGATATTGACAAAGAAGGAAATGGTACCATTGACTTTGAAGTCTTTTTGGCTATGATGACACAAAAAATGGTAATCATCTACTTAGCCTGAAAAATCAAATGTGGATATTTAAACAATGGGTTTATATTTTTTCTTGATTTCTCATTTTAGAGCGAGAAAGATTCAAAAGAAGAAATCTTGAAAGCATTCAGATTATTTGATGATGATGGGACAGGAAAGATTTCTTTCAAAAATTTAAAGAGAGTTGCCAAGGAGCTAGGAGAGAATTTAACAGATGAAGAATTGCAGGTAAATTCTGATTTTACTAATAATTTCCTAAAACTTTGGGCCTGTCCTTCAGCTCTCACAGGCACAGTTGTCAAGCCATTCTGAGAGACAGGAGGCAATAGATATGTTTTAATTAGGCCATAACTTTATTCACCAAAAGTATCTGGGAGTATGCAATAAATCACACAGTGCAGGTCATTATTATCATCTTAATTGTTTCCACTTATGTGGGAGGCTTGCCATCAAGCCCTTCTCCATCCAGCCTCTTGTATAATGCTTAAAGTGGCTGAAAAGGAAGGGGGATTAGCTCCCTGCTATTCCAGATGTTAGGTTCCTTAAACTCCCACTTCCCAAATTTCTTCTAAATTCCCTTCTAATCCATTTTATCTGATAACCATGTGCTTTTCATAATGAACACCTTGCAGCAGATATCATTAAAGGTGCCATCAGGGATTATCTTGATAGCTTTCCCTCTCCCCGTTCTCTAAATTTACTAATTCCTTCTCTGATATCAGACTAAAATAATCTGCTCAGGATTGCTTCACCCCCTGTGCTCACCTGTGAACCGCCAGATCACCCAGCAGACCATCTGTGCTTGCAGCATGGACTGTCAGACCTGCAAAGCCATACCACTCCTCACTTGGCCTATTAATATAATCCCCAAACTGGAAACAGTAAACTAGTACTGGTTCTTTACCAGGGTATCACATATGTTCTGTATCCATTTAAACGCCAACATCCAATTGTTTGAATCATAGTGGCCCCTAACATCTGATGTGACACTAAGAATCCTACCTAGGACCTGTATCTTGAGATCACTTATTAAGAATCTCCAAATTCTAGTACAAGGATCTGGGTACACCTTATCCTGCTAGGAAATGTAAGGCCCAATAGGCAACTGGAGCTGGTAAATAATGTCAGTCTCTGAGTTGCCAAAAATTGTTATTTTTCTAAGTATGTGGTCCTCTGAAATAAGCCAAATCACAGCGAGGCCATCCCTCCTCTGAAATTACACAAAATCATTAAAGCTTCTGACATAAGCCCTGCATGGTAATGGTTCAACCAATCTGTATACAACCCCAAGAGCCATGATATGACAAGGTCCCAGGGGGCCACTGGTACCTTGTTGGTTTCCTGATTGGCTTCTGGTACCAGGTCTCAAAATCCATCCACTTGAAATGAAGACAATACATTGTCAGCTCCATCATGAATCATTGGCACATGTTTGGCAGAAAAACAGATGTTAAAGTTGAACCAGTGCATTATGAATGCTCTAGTCATCCTTATAACCCTGGGCAATCTGGAGAACAAGTGCTTACTAATATGTACTACCGCTATATTGTCATTCCCAAAACATACTCTTTTGTCTGAAAAATTTGTTTTCCAAATAGTCACTTCCACTAAAATGGGAAGGAATTCCAGGAAGCTTACATAATTTACTATGCATTTTTGTATAACACCAGGTGCCACTTCTCAGAAACCACCTGCCTCAGTAAAATACCCCAAAACCTATTCCCTCCCAGTGCATCTAAGCCAGGGGTTCTTAACCAGTGAGGTGCACCTCCCCAGGAGAGATGTGAGGTGCCTCCCAGAAAATTTCTCAGGAAAGCCTTCACTGGCCTAAGGGAAGGCAGCTGTGGGAGGCCCGGGTAAGGTCTCAGCCTCATCAGACAGGAGCTCTGGATAGGCCTCTGTCTCTCTCAGAGGCTGGGCCATGACTGAGCTCCCTAGCAGAGTTCTTATAGTCCTAGCCACTACCCTTAGCTTCCTGTCAGGTGAGGGCGCAGGGCTAGGCTGTGCACAAAATGGCTTCCAGGGGTGTGTGAACATGAAGTTCACTTTCAGGGGAGGTGTGAAGGTAAAAAGGTTAAGAACCCCCTGATCTAAGCACATCTTGATCTATGCTTCTATCATCTATTCCTCCCTTTAAAAAGAACTCAAATTCTCCTTCATCTCTTCATTAATGCCTATAAAATTGTTTAGCCTTGACATTCCCATGGTGACAGCTGACCGATGCAAAATGCTTACCACGGGGTCACAATTCAGCATAAAAAGTTAAGATGCCTAATAATAGACTGCAGCTTCTGCAGTGTGATCTTCTTGACCACTCTAGGCCTAATTATCAATTGCAAAATTTCTCCCCATTTATTCTGGGGGAATTAGATATACCAGCCTCCGTGTCCAACTTGATCAACTTATTAGAGGCCCCTCTTTTTTTCATCTGCCCAATTCACCAGCCAGGGCTAGGCATGCAGCCAGCAGGCTATCCCATTTCTCAAAATCCATCCTTCCTGCAACCAAGAAGTTATGTAAGTAATGTACAATCCACTGTGAACCAGATTCTGATACCACTGCTTAGCATAGCATCATGCTGAACATTTCAAATGCTGAGCGCAAGCTTGTACATTCCCTAGGTAACACTTTGTCCAAATAAAACTGACCCTCACAATAGAAACCCAAAAGGATAAAATCAGAAGGAAACACAAGCAGCAATGGTTAATGACTCTACCCCATTGCTGGTTTCACCACTAGTTACATTATTCCCACATGCCAAATCTGAGCCCATTCTACTGGTTGGCTGGAATGATATCTGCCAGCCTTCTCACCAAGGGAAGCCTGCAGCTTTTGTAACAATTGTTAGCCTATAACAGTTGCGTAAAGCTTTTCTATTGAGGTCAGTGGGATATTTACAAGTCCCAGGCAACCCCAGTCCCCCAAAATAGCAAATCCCCACCCCCGAGCTCTGTGGCTAAATTTGTTGTTTCACTTGTTTCAATAGCTCCTGCCCCCCAAACCCAGTGAGCTGGCTTGTCTGGCACTATCTGGGGTATAAATATTCCCCATCCCACCTCCACTCACCTGGAAGAGCAATCCCCCTCACCTAGTCCAAACGTTTCCTGTTCATCCTTGCTCTATCCGGGTAAAATTTCCCACCTTTGTCCTCTACTTTCAGTTGCAGAGGCAGCTCTTACAGGGGTAACAACACCTTTTGTTTTGCCAGCCAAACACAGGCTAAATTCCTAGTGAGTCCTATCTGAGGCATATGGCATTAGATCCAAAGCATATGTTCCATATCTAGATGCATAATTAAATATTTCATGGTATAAACTTGTTTGCTATTTATACATATACTTTAAAGTATATGAAAAGATCTTGTGATTCAGTCTAGTTGTTAGTCTGAAATGTTCTTTACAGGAAATGATTGATGAAGCTGATCGAGATGGAGATGGAGAAGTAAATGAGCAAGAGTTTTTGAGAATTATGAAGAAGACCAGCCTATATTAATGTTTGCTATTGCCTTCTCTTATGGTGGTTTTAAAAGATTTTAAAAAAAATGTTGGCCTGCAGCTTTACTTGAAGCTTCATAACATATAAAGAAGGGAGTATATATTTTGTTTGTTTTCTTTTTTTGGATAGTATTTATTTTATTTTTTTATGATAAAAATGCAGGGTCTGTATAGTCAGGAAGACTGCGGGTAACAGAAGAACTAGTGAAATGAGACATCCTAGGAGTGAAAGCTGAGAGAGAGTTAGTCAAACTATTACTCAGTTTTTTTGTTTTTAAATATATGTAAAGTTCAGTGACTAACAATTTGGAGAAAGGATACAGGTTGAACCTCCCTGGTCTGGAACCCTCAGGATCTGACCAATTGCGTATGAGGGATTTTGCCGGACCAGTTGAGGTAATTTCTGGCTCCCCTGCTACTGGTCCCCCCAGCCCTGGATCAGCTGCCAGCCTCCTGGCTGCCCCGTCTAGCCCCACTGCCCTGCCAGTCCCCTCCCCCTTTTCCTACTAAATTAGGCAGCCCAACTCCCTGTGCGCCCAGCTCCTGGCTGAACCTGGCACCCTGCTGTGGCTTGCTGGGCTCCTGGACGCACCAGACAGCTCCACTGGGTTGTACCTAGTGGCACAGCAGGCAGCACAGCTGTGGAAAGCTCAGCTGCGGAGAGCCTATCTGCCAGCTTTCCACTGGGACTCTCCGGTCCTGGAACATCCATGGTCCAGCATCAGACCAGGGAGTCCTGGTTAACAGAGGTTCAACCTGTATTATTGGAAACAACACCTAGGCCCCTTCATTTAAGATATGTGAACACATAATAAACATGTTCTCCAGCAAATCTAGGGATGACCAGAGTTGGCGTTCTTGATATTTTTAATACGTTACAATTAATTACAGGTTGAGTTTATACTTCCTAAAGAAACAAAGGCACAAGGCTAACATTTTTATTTTTGTAAGGTTTTCAGGTCTACTACCATGTTTATTGCCATTAAGGAATCTAAAATCGGTTGTATATCCATATTTATTGTTTCTTTATGAAACACTGTTCCTTTTTGTGGCCAGTTGTGTTGGGACTTTGTGGCAGGTATGTGTAGTAGCAAATAGCCATGTACAATATAAGTTCTGTTATACTATATGCCTTGCTATCTGTAGATATTGTTTCATTTTGCAATCCCTTGATTGTCTGAAATCTAGTTTCTCTGAAGTTGGTGTTTCCCACTTTGTTTGGATTATCTAAGTTGTAGTATATGTAATTATTGTCTTGTTCCTTGGTACTGATTTCTAAAGCATTACTGACTTTCTTCTAGTCTTTTAAGTATTTGGAGTGAAATTCACATGTAGGTACCACTGAGAGGCCAGATTGTGTGCCCCAAGGTAAATGTAATAAATTAATTTGTTATACTACATAGATGTCAAGAACAAGTAGATTAAGGTCTATTCACCCCAAATTCATGTCTGGAGGGTCTGTGCATATGAGAGTTGCTTTTTAATTTGTATTTGATAAGAGTACTCTAATTTTCTTGAGATTGTCTAGATAGTGCCAATTTCACCTAACTGACTTCTCTGTGTTTGCTTTCTGCACACAAGCATGTATCAGTGGTGCTTAATTTGTCATCTAAGTATATAATCCCCAGATAATTATCCTTGATTGACTACTAGACAACCAAATAAAAGTTGTAAGGAGGCCATGAAACCTAAACAATGTCTTTCTTGATTGCATCTTCCAAATGGGGTTTATATAACGCTGAGCTGAAAAATTGCAATTGCTTTTCAGTTGTGAGGCCCCAGCAGGGGTTAGCTAGTTCCAGCTAAGGAAATGGGAAGTGATAATTTATATGTGAACTCTTGACTTGCAGATGGAGAGCTGATCTGTTTTGTTATCATTCTAGCTTCGGGCTGTGTATTTATCTCTTTGGATAGGTCACACTTAGCTCTTATATAGCTGGCCTCAAATCTATGGAAAGCCCTATGTATTGAATAGAGTCCATATGAACTAAAACATTTATTTATTAAGTCAATGTTAACTTTTTTCTACTGCAGTTGAAGTGATCTGTAGTACTCTAAGCTTTTTTAAAAATAGATGTTTCCACTTTGTATGAAATGAAATAAAATGATTTTGCAAGTATACTACTTGTGGGATTATTAATGAAATTGAATGTGCTATCTGAATATTACTTATTTGTTGGCTTTGTGTGTATAGCGATTTTGGACAAATTAATTAGCTCTATATTTTATAACACATTCCAAAAGAGAAATGCATAGCCTCTAAATGTCCTGTCAAAACTTTTTTCCCCCCTGGCATGCTGATTAAAAGTTTCTTACACTAAGCAATTCTATTCAGAAAGGGAAATTTCAGCCTCTAGACAACTGTGGGGAATCCCAGAGCTTGTTAGAATGACTGTACAGTTTTTTAATGCTGCAACAGGAAAAGGGTAATGACTCTTGTTTACCTGTGATGCATTTAGTTGCTTCCTGCCATAATTACATCACTCACCGTTAAACAGATTGATTTTGAAGTAGGAAAAACATACATAGATTTGCCTATTCATGCTGAAATCTTCCATCGTAGCTTGGCCAGAGTCATGGATTTGTTTAATTAATCTCTTCAATCTGGAGTTTTGGACAGTTTTTGAATTGGAGTACATCTTACTTCTAGTGAATTTTAACAATCAGGAACCCTCTAAATTACATCCCTCTTTCAAAAGAGGCATGTAAATTAGACAGATTGAAATTGCAAATGAAGCCGGGATTTGAATTTCCCGCGTTTAATTTGCATAATGGTGGCTGCATGTTCTTTCGAAAAAGGGCTTTTCGAAAGGAAACCACCGTCTAGACGTGGTTCTTTCGGGGAAAAAAAACCCCTTTCTCGAAAGATCCTGTACTCCTAAAAAAATTAGTACAGGATCTTTCGAAAAAGGGTTTTTTTTTCCCGAAAGAACTGTGTCTAGACAGTGGTTTCACTTTCGAATAGCCCTTTTTCGAAAGAATGCCCGGCTGCCATTATGCAAATTAAGTGCGGAAAATTAAAATCCCGGCTTCATTTGCAATTTCAATCTGTCTAATTTACATGCCTCTTTTGAAAGAGGGTTGTAGTCTAGACATGCCCTCATGGAATAAACCTCAAGAAGTCAAGTTGAAGCTTCTGTGCTGTGGCAGGACTAAGCAAACCTGCACCTTCCCTAACAGGTGTTCATCTAGCCTGTTCTTAAAATCACTAATGATGGGGATTACACAATCATCTTGAAAGCCTAGTTCAGATCTTTTGTTGCAGTAGAACATGTGCAACAAGTAATCACTGTCCTCTTTATAGTGGCCCTTAAAATATTTGCAGATTGTCATTTCTCACCTCAGTTGTGTTTTCTCAAAGACAAAGAAGTCCATTTTTGAACCTTTCTTCGTAGGTCAGGTTTCTAAAACTTTTGTAATTTTTGTCTGGCCTCTCTCCAGTTTGTCCCCATCTTTCCTTAAATGTGGAGCCTAGAATTGGACACAGTACTCCAAATGAGGCTTCACCAGTGCTGAGTACAGGCACTCCCAGGGTTACGTACAAGATAGGGACTGTAGGTTTGTTCTTAAGTTGTGCTCTACCCCAGGGGTAGGCAAGAAAAGCCTGGTCTGCTGGGGGGGGCACTAGCTGCACCCCTCCCCCAGCAGACCAGGGATACGGGGGTGGCGGGACCGCCCAAGTCCTCCACGGCTTTGCTCCATCTCTCTGGTCTGCTGACCTGGGAGACGCGGAGCAAAGCCGCAGAGCACGCGGGCAGCGGGACAGTCCAGGCGCGCCACGCTGTCCCACTGCTGGCGTGCTCCGAGGCTTTGCTCCCCATCTCCCTGGTCTGCTGGAGAGGACAGGACAGCCCAGGCGCGCCTGGGCTGCCCCGGAGCCCCAGCCCCTCCGTGGCTTTGCAAAGCTGCGGGGGAAGCCGGCGGCGGGACAGCCCAGGCGTGCCTGGGCTGCCCGGCTGCCTGAGCCCCTCCGCGGCTTTGCTCTGCGTCTTCCTGGTCTGCAGACCAGGGAGACGCGGAGAAAGCCCCGGAGTACACGGGCGGCAGGACCGCGAGGTCCCGCAGTCTGTGTCCTCCGGGGGAGCCCCGTTCGTAACTGCGGATCCGACATAAGTCGGGGACTGCCTGTATAGTGAGACAATTACCTCCCATGTATTACATATGACATTGTTGTTAATAGACCCCAGGATGATAGCCTTTTTTTTCAATTGCATCATAATTTTTACTTATATTTCAGTTTGTGATCTTCTGTGACCCCAGGTTCTTTTTAGAAGCACCACTTTTCACTGCCCATTTTGTAGTTGTGAATTTGATTTTTCCTTCCTAAGTGAAATTCTTGCAACTTGTTTTTATTGAATTTCATCTTGTTGAATTCAGACCAGTTTTTCAGTTTAAGTTTATTCTTCTTTGGAAGATGTCCCTGTTAGCTCTCCATGCTTGGCTGACTACTTCTCCCTTTTCCAGGATCTTTTTAAGTGGGTTGCAGCAGAGCATTGGAGGAAATATCCAAAACACAACATGAACGTATGGACATTTTGCAAGCCTCCCACTCCTCCAAGATAGCACTTCCCATCAACCCCACCATCTTAGACCTTGCTAAGACAGTCTGACAGACCCTGGCCTCCAAACCCTCTACTTGTAAGAGGGGCTGATAGGAAGTACTTACTACATACCATCCAGAGGGTCAGAATTCTTATTCAACCATCCAACTCCAAATTCCTTGGTGTTCGAAGCAGCACATCAGTGCAGTAGGCAGCAATTCTTCCAACTGACCCCTAGTGACAAGGATAGTAAAAGGTTAGTTGTATTTGGATGTAAAGTCTATGCCTTGCAGTTCAGAATTTTGAACTGTTCTGTGTTCTTGGCCAAATACGACCACAGGAACCATGTAAAACTCATGAACTTTGTGGAGGACATATCCAAGGCCAAAAGGCCACTGTTTAAAGCTAGAGTCTGAGAAGGCCAGATTATTCCCCACATGACCTTGTGGACAGCCCTCAATGTAGTGGATACCACAGTAAGATCTACTGCAACTGTGGCGGTGATGTACAGAACCTCTTGGTTTATTCCTACCATGTTCCCAAGAGACACACTATCTACAGTGGAAGATCATCCCTTCTATGGGGAAAAACTGTTTGCGGGAAAAACCAATGAAGTGATGTTTTGATGGATGGGAGGAATGGGGCCACCATTCCCACTCTGGCATTCTGAGTGCAGAAGGTGGGGGCTCTCAAGAGACCATAAAAAATACCTTGCCTCTATAGGTTTCTGCTTTAAAAACTCCCCAAGGTCACAGATTCCCTGGCATTAGGAGATACACTGTCACCATCAAGTGAATTGGACCCAGGAAAAAAGTATTCTTCTTGAACCCAGGAAGGAAACACTTGGATTTCTTCCAGAGGGGTACCCCAAGTTCTTTTACCACAAGAGAGCTTGAAGAAAAAAAAGAGAAAACAAACTGCAGGCTCTGACAGCAGATCTCTCAGTCTTAGGCATGCATACGCAGACCTATTACCTTCCAGGACACAAGAATCAAATCATCACCTTAAAAAAGATGATTTTATTAACAAAACCCAGCTTTGTCGACAGAACTCCGTAGTCTGGACGCAGTGTTACAGGCAATAACACCTTCTGTCGACAGAGTTCTGTCGACAGAAAGTGTTATGCCTCGTAAAACGAGGTATACCAGCGTCGACAAAACCGCTGAGTTCTGTCGACGTTATGTCGACAGAACTCCGCGGTAGTGTAGACGCTGGTATTGTTTTGTCGACAAAAGTCCACTTTTGTCGACAAAACTAGGTAGTCTAGACACACCCTTAGTCTTAGGCATGCATACACAGGCCTCCTATTACTTTCCAGGACACAAGAATTAAATCATAGTCTTAAAAAAGGAGATTTTTATTAACAAAACAAAAAAAATATACTTGGTAAAGCATACTTGGTTGCTAGACGTTATAGTGCAACTGAGAAAAGAGCAAATTGAAACAGAGAGATTGTTTCTCTGGGATCCAGCTTAAAAATACAGGGGAAGGGGAAGGCATATGAGCTTAGCACAGAGAAGTTTAACCAAACAACAAAACAAAGAAAATAACCTGATCACAACTAAACAGACATTTTCCTATCTACTTACTATCTATGCTTCAAGGTCCAGTTCATTTCCATGCCCAGTATTCCTTGTAAGCATGGTAGTTTTGCTTGGTTCAATACATTTGTTCCCCCAACTCCTGGGTTAAAACTCCCACAAAGAAAAATAGCAGGCAGGTGTATCTTCCCATTCAAATTTCAACATCTTTTCCCATTAGCTTTCCTGGCTCCTGGCACCCCCTAGCTACCTGAGTTTTACCCTTTAGTCACCAAATGCTCACCAGTACGCCTGTCCATCACAGATACATAATATGAAGGACTCCGGTGCCACACTGTGTTCCCTCAGTATACATACCCCAGCAACCAGAAGGAGGCAATATCACTATCACCCCTACCAATTGCCCCGATATTCTCCCTACCTACAGCAGAGAACTTTCAACCACCACCAACAAAGACGCCTGACCTCCAAATTGTTTGCCATCCCACCCAACTTAGTGGCATCTTATAAACATACTTAAATTGCATTATCCAAGTCAGTAACACTATTCAATAGTACCATAACCCAAACTGACCCTGGCTGGATCCCAATAGATACACTCTTCCAGTGCCAGCAAACCATTGATAACTACTCTGAATATGGACATTCAACCTATTGTGCACCCACCTTGTAGTAATTTCTTCTAAACAATATTTCCCTCATTTGCTTATAATAAAGTCATGTGGGACTATGTCAAAAGCTTTACTAAAATCAAGATATCACATTTACTGCCTCCTCCATATCCACCAGGTCAATAAACCTATCAGAGAAGGAAACTAAATTAGTTTGGCAGGGTTAGTTCTTGAGAAATCTAGTATGGTTATTCTTGATAACCCTATGATCTTCCAGGTACTTACACATTGTTTGTTTAATAATTTGTTCCAATTGCTTTCCAGGTTAGGTCTTCTGCGCTTTATTTTCCCTTCCTCTTTTTGAAGGTAAGTTATGTTTTTCTTCTCCAGTCTTCTGGTACCTCATCTAGCCTCAAGGAGTTCTCA